CAAATTGGAAACTTTTTTGAAAACTTACAGAAAAAAATTAAAGGAAAAAAAAAAAAAAAAAACAGGTGGTACCAGCAGCTGAAGGTAAAGAACCGCCATAGACATTTGTGAATGGCTCTCCACGGATTATTACATTTGTCTTCTGAAAACATATAATAATTAAAATTATACCACACAGAGAGGAGGGAGGGGGGAGGCAAATGCATTTTAAACTTATTATTAAAAAGGGGGTGAACTGTACTGGGAGACACCAGCCTCTGGCTTCTCCACATTATCTGGCACCTGAACAGTGAGATCTTGCACCAGGGTCAGTAACAGACTTTGCACCCAATGGTGAAAGAAAGAAAAAAGGAAAATAAAAAGACAAGAAAATGGACGGTCTTCATAAAAAGTATTCATTAGTTAATTTTCTGGAAGTTATAGAGGTTTTTTGTGAAAATTTTTATCTTTCACATACTGGAATTTTCAATGTGGGACTTAGAGCTCCCTTGGGCATGAAGCCCAGTGGTAATCACATTTTTTTAATGTCCATGTTTTTAATAGTAGATATTTAAAAATTGGTGGTATTTATACAGTTAATCATTATGTAATGTTGCATCAAAATTGACAAAAAACCTCTTTTGTACACTGCCACCATTGACGTTATAGAAAGAAAACTGTTACTTTCTATTTTTTCAACCAGTCTTACAAGAATGATTCTTAGGATTGACATACAGCTCATATTAGAAAACCAGCTCTATTAGATTATCACTTTTATTAAATTTATGCATTTTTTGTGAAATTTTCATTTTTCTCATTTTGGCACTTTCTAAGTATAAACTTGAACTTTGATGGGCCTGAAGCCTTATGCTTTTACTTTTGTCAGTGTTACCTGTTGTGCATAATTTTAAAACATTTGATGTTGACTGTGCAGTTAAACATAATGTATTATTGTATCAGAATTGATAGTCTCCTATTTTGTGCATTATTGTTTTGTGCATTTCTTAAGGGTGTGACTTATGGGCCTGAAGACCTTTGAGAGGGTCAGTCTCTAAATTTCCCTTGGGTCTCACTAGGCTATGTTATAAAGTTATAAAGTCATTTGCCTAATTAATAGGCCATTAAATGAGATTACATAAAGCACACTTGTTGATATTTCCCTGTAAACTCCCAAAGGCTAAGCTCTCTGCTGGATTAATAATAAGGAAGCAGTGATAATTATGCAGGTAAATTTTGTTTTATATTGCAAATAAGTTTTTAATATATATATATATATTAAAAACTTATTTGCAATATATATATATATATATATATATATATATATATATATATATATATATATATACAGAAAATGTAAAATTCCAACTGAGGTGATAGACCGCGATGGCTCTCTCCTAACAGGAATGGATAATGTTTTAAACGAATGGAGATCCCAGTATGAGTGTTTATACAACGTTAATAATTATGTCACGGATTTTGATGAAAATCATTTCAGCACAATTCTCAGCAGGCTCGAAAACGATGACTTCCATCCTATGTACGATGCAAATATCCTGAACCGACCAATACGACGAGATGAAGTTGCGGAGGCAATAAAGAATGCTAAAATGCATAAGGCTGCCGGCATTGATGCAATCCCGGCAGAAGCATTAAAGAATGAAGTTTGCGTCGAGCTTTTGCATAAGATAATCAGTGCATGCTTCGAAAAAGGCGTAGTCCCAGATATTTGGAAAACCGGATTGCTGAATCCAATAGTAACACCAAATGGGACGGACCCACATAAACCTTTAACTTACCGAGGTATAACATTAATTTCAGTACCGTGCAAGATTTACGGCGATATATTAAATAAACGCTTAACTGCGTGGCTTGAGAGTACGCCCTACTTGGCGGATGAACAAAACGGCTTTAGAAAGGACAGGAGCTGCGAGGATCATGTTCACACCTTTCACAGCATCTTAGATAACAGAATAAAATCTAAAAAGCAAACTTTTGCCTGCTTTATTGACCTGCAAAAGGCGTTTGACAGTTTAAACAGGGACTGCTTGTGGTTTAAACTGAAACAACTGGGGATAAATGGATCGTTTTACCAAGCAATTATTTCCATGTATGACAATGTCACCGGCCGTATACGACTAAATGGGTCATTAACCGAACCTTTTAAAATTACACGTGGTGTCAAGCAAGGATGTTTGCTGTCGCCAGCATTATTTGGGATTTATGTAAATGACCTAGCAGACTCTTTGCGTGAGGCAAATCTTGGTATTGACATCGATGGAACAACAACTAACCTTCTTATGTATGCTGATGACATTGTTGTCGTGGCTGAAAATGAAGACAATCTTCAGAAAATGCTGGACCTTGTTTCTGCTTGGTGTTACAAATGGAGACTTCAGCTTAATTCATCAAAAACGAATGTGATTCATTTCCGTGCAAAATCAGTTGAAAAATCTAACTTTGAGTTTATATGTGGAAAGCAAAGACTTGAAATGGTCGATAAATATAAATATCTCGGCATTTGGCTAACAGAACACCTGGACTTAACGTATGCTGTAAGGGAACTGGCCAAAGCAGCCAGTAGATCACTTGGCGTCTTGACAGCAAAATATTTTGAAAGCTGTGGCATGACTTATGCCGTTTTCACACAACTATATAAGTCTTCAGTAGAACCAGTTTTAATGTACTGTGCGTCATTATGGGGACAAAAAGAATATCGATTTGTCAACAATGTTCAAACTCGCGCGATGCGTATCTTCCTTGGCGTAACAAAAACGACGTCTAATGTGGCAAAGCAGGGTGACATGGGGTGGATACCTAACCTAGCAGTTCAACACATAGATGTGTTCAGATACTATTGTAGACTTAAAAATGTAAACAACGGCCGCATTTTAAGTAAAGTTTTTAATTGGTCAGTAAAGCAGAAACGCTCTTGGGGTGTGAAAACCATTTAAACTTCTCACTCAATATAAACTGAACAGCATGTTAAGCAATGAGTCTTATGTATTTAAAAACGCTAAAAAAGAGATTAGAAGGTCTCTTTTTCAAGTTTACGAACAGAAATGGTTTTGTAAATTGTGGAATGACAAAGGAAACCCCAATGGAAATAAACTGAGACATTATAGATCCTTCAAAAAAGATTTGAAAACGGAGACATATCTTCACTGTGCAATGCCAAGACCTTACCGTAGCGTTTTAGCTAAGTTGCGCTGTGGCAGTCTACCTTTACATGTAGAATCTGGCCGTTTTCTACGAACCCCTTTAAATGAAAGAGTATGTTTTTATTGCGATAGAAAAAATACAGAAGATGAGATTCACTTTCTTTTAATATGTCCTTTTTATTCAGATTTACGACAAGAACTTTTAGATCAATGTCACTATCTTAATCCATGTTTTAGCAATTATAGTGATACAGAAAAATTTGTTTTTATTATGAATTGCGAACACCAGTTTCTATTAGCTAAGACAGTTTTTAAAATGTTTAAAAGACGGAAATCTTTTAACTGTGTCTCATAAGCCAAATATGGCTGGGTATTCTTTTAATTAGTAGTTTATTTTATACTGTTTTTTGTATTTTATGTTTTAAGAATATGCGACACTTTAATAGATAAATAAATAAATAAATAAATAAATAAATAAATAAATATATATCAAACTCAAAGATTAAAAGTTTGAATAGCAGCTTCATTGGAATTATATTTACCTCTGCCAAGGAGGTTATGTTTTCACCCCTGTTTGTCTGTCATCAACATAACTCAAAAATTGATGAAATTTTCAGGAACTGTCAGAAGTGGGTCAAAAAGACAATGATTAGTTTTTGGTGGTGGTTCAGATCAATAATCTATCAAAAATCAATAATTATCAAAAATTGCTGCCTTGGCAGAGCTCTGCGCTCTCAGAGTGCTTTTCTAGTTTTGTTATGTTTTCCTTTTTAATTTTTTCTCAAACACTGGCATTTGTGACTTTTAACTCCCATCTGCCTGAGGCTCTGCACATTTTCTGTATTTCCACATAAGCAGTTGTATTGGTTTTTATGTCTTTAAACATTATGTAATATTATTTTATGCACTGTCATCATTTTTCGAATATTGGGACTTTCATCATGTGAATTTGAACTCTCATGGTCCTGAAAGTGTAATCTTATTGAAGGGATGGATTGAGACCATCTTCTGGGTCTTCC